GTTTAAAGCTGAATTCCGGTTACATTAAAAACCACGCACGGTTGGTAATTATGTAGACTTCTAACTGGAGATCTTCTATTGTAACGTAGCGACCGAGTACAGAGTATTTAACAACCAGATTTCTATCCAATCACCTCCGACTGCCTGTAATTTGAGAAAGTGGCAATCACGTCAATAAAATTTAGAATTTTATTATTTGGTCCTTTCTTTCACTCCGCTCAGGTTAAATATTACCTGATCGACGAGTTAGACACCAAGCCCTTCCTCGTTTCTCTACTGAGGCGCCGACCAATAAAGAATCGGAGACTGGGAACGTTCTCGTCCCCAGTGTTCCTTTTAGCCGACAGGGCGTTGGCATGAGGAAANATTCCGGTTACATTAAAAACCACGCACGGTTGGTAATTATGTAGGCTTCTAACTGGAGGTCTTCTATTGTCACGTAGCGACCGAGTACAGTGTATTTAACAACCAGATTTCTATCGAATCATCTCCGACTGCCTGTAATTTGAGAAAGTGGCGATCACGTCAATAAAATTTAGAATTTTATTATTTAGTCCTTTCTTTCACTCCGCTCAAGTTAAATATTACCTGATCGACGTGTTAGACACCAAGCCCTTCCTCGTTTCTCTACTGAGGCGCCGACCAATAAAGAATCAGAGACTGGGAACGTTCTCGTCCCCAGTGTTCCTTTTAGCCGACAGGGCGTTGGCATGAGGAAAAGGTGGTTCTAGATACTCCACTCTCGCCTCCATAGCCCTTTTCGCTTCTCGTATTATTCTCGGGCCAAGGCCCCGCCGGCTAACAGAAGCGAAAAGGGCTATGGGGGCGAGAATATGGATACTCATAATTTGATAGACTAGATTCTTGGACAGCAGAGATATCGTTAGTTTCCATGCCAGAAATATCACTGGTTGTTATGCAACAAAAGAATCGATCGATCACAACACCTAACGACCTTTAGAGAGTTCAAAGTGCAAAAAACTAGCCAATCAAATCAAGTGCCTCGAGAGCCTCCTTTTACTCGTGATAAGGCCCCGCCGTTCCTGAGGGACAGGTAGGTCTGAGGACAAGATTGAAACAGGAGCAGAAACTTGAAAATGAGGAAAAGCTCAAGATCTAGAAACTGTAGGAGAGGAAAATCTGTCATTACTAAAAAAACGTCTTCACCGGGACCTTCGTCCCTAAGTGCAAAATAAAGAGAAGTTGAAGTTCGTTCAAAATTAAAAACCAAAACAAAAGTACTGTAAACAATTAGCGAGCTCTCTTTGTTTGACGAACCAATAAGAACCATTGTGCAGTCGATCAAACATTGATAACATTTTTAAAGTAAATAAACAAAGATGACAGTGCCTCGATTCAGCAAAACATACTTATAACGTTTCTGTTTGACAGCGAGCACAGCCCGCTTGGTCGAGCAGCGTTGACGGGGACCTCACATCGTCGCGTATGTCCGGGGCAATGGCCTAATGGCAGCTAGATGTCTGACAGATAGGTATTCAAACTGAGTGGGGAAGGATGAGTACAAGGTCGTTTCTTTTTCCAGCTGCTAAGATACCTAAGAGACAGCTTCTTAAGTCATTAAGTTAAATTTCTTTGCATGTGCGGGTCTGTAGTTAGTTTCTAACACACTTCGTTTTATTTTCAACTTTATCCATTCAACCGAGGAACAGCCGATTAAAAGGAATGTTCGTCATATCCAGCAACGTCCATGCACTTGTGAGGCAATGGTGCGGGAGGGGCCAGAGGTTTCGTAACAACCTCGAGTGTTTTCTTTTTTCTGTGGCTCTCTTTTTCCAATTTACGTCATGCTTATACAATTTGTTCTAAGGACGCCGCGGGAAAA